AAAGGGGAAATACAAATGCAAGATGACGCAGTTATCTTCACTGATGTCTGTGCAATTCACACATCAATTTTAATTTAATCCCTTCGGGTTATGGGCACGAGAATTTACCCGTGGCATGTCATGCCTGTCGTAAGAGGCGACTAAAATTGAATAGCTCGCACTACAATCGGGTTTTTATACCGGAACGACCCGGATTTTTATTCGGCCAAGGGCTGTCACTCCTGCGATATTCCCCGTAAACCAATTCGAGGAAAATTTTGGGGTTAAAACAACAACAAATTTTAATTTGAGGCTACCAGGTTACTGCATAGTATTCCAAGCAGAACTTAAAGCAATCACGGAAGCTCCAGAGTTCCTATTGTTTTTTTTGGTTATAAACTGATCAATCAGTATATACACGGAAAGCCAGGCTGCCGTTAGATTTCTTCAATGTAATTGCATCCCATCAGAATTGAGTCTGAAATGCAGATGATCTTCAAACAAGCTTTCAAACAAGCTCTCAGGCAGGAGCATTATAACCGTGCTTTAGGTGCCCAGACATTGTGAAATCCCAGGCAACTGTTTGATGGGCAAAGTAGCGAGAGAGGGTGCCACTCCAACTACAATAAACTCTACGCACGTTATGGGTGTACCCTTTTCTACGACAAAACTCAGACGGTTTTCACAAAAAGAGCCGATGTGGGTTAGCGAAGAAGCCTGCAACGTGAGTGGACAGCTTTAGCCTGTAGTGGACGTTATAAGAACAAGGAATCTATACTACCTAGAACGGGTTAACCATTAACTCAACAACGGACCTACTAGCTGGACACTTCTTAATGGGACTCCTCGACGAGAGAATGGAATCTTTTCCAATGGTTTTTGCCGTAACTGCAGGGACAGTCCAGTCTCAAGCTTCATACGATATAAACACTTAGGTCATCACTTCTTTGACTCTCCTGGCTGACGTATAGACAGAATTGCATCTTTCGTAATGCACATGGCATTGTTCGTACATCTGAGAAGGCGAGAAGTGATCCACAGCGGTGCCACAACGAGCCTCTGACCTTAGTGCGCTGATCAATCTGATCAGTAACTGCATCAACTTAACTCAGGGGATGCGAATTCAAATATCTTTGAACTTGTCTACTGAACCAAAAAAGTTCAAATAAATCGTAGTGGATTGTGCCTAACTGCTTTTCAAGTTCAAAAAAAAAAAAAAAACAAAAAAAAAGCTCAAGCTTGCAATCACAGCGGCTGCAGCGTCATACAATCAAAATCATACAGCTTCCAAAAATTTTAGAAAATTTACAATATGTCAAAGAATACAAACAGCAGCAACAACAACAATGGAACAACAATAGACGCCGCCACTAAGTAACGGAAACTATAAAATTTGCGAACAACTGAAAGTCCGACCACCAACAACCGGCAACCAAATGGTGGACAACACGCGTTCGCGCATGCATATGAGTATGCGCATGTGTGAGTGTGTGTGTGTGTGGCAACGCGACAGCCATGACACATGCCACATAGTGCAACAGCAGCAACAATAAGAAGAAAAAATGACAAACACAAAACGTTGCAAAGTTTAGAATGACGCAAATGAACGCAGTTGCCGCAAGGAACGGGTGGGGGGGTGCGAAGTTTCTGCTGGAAGAAAAATGAGTTGAAGAAATCAAGTGTAACGGTACAAAAAAAAAAAAAAAAAAAAAAAATTATTTTTTATAACAAAAGTTGACGGCAAACCAAGCGACATTGTTAAGTGACAGGCGGCAAGTGGACATGTAGCACTTGCTACCAACTGGCATGCAATGGCGAACTATTATTGTTGTTGTGGTCACTCAGTCACTACTTTAGTAATATTGTTGTTGCTGCCACTTGTGCTTGTTGCAAGTTTTGCATACACGTACAACACAAAAGCTAATGCACTTCTGCGGCCAACTTCACTGTCAATCAATGCACACACTGCCACCGCCTGGACAACAATGCTGGACGGACGGCAACAACAAAACAAACAACAATAGCTGAAGAAAAGTTTTTCAAAACAATAACAACAACAACAACAACAGCAGCAGCAGCAGCAACAACAATAACAACAACAACAACGTCATGTAGCGAGCAATCAAGCCGAAAAAAGCACAACAAATTGACAACAACAAGAACAAAAATAACAACAAGAACAAACAAACAACTTGAATAGCAACAACCAATTTGGTATATAAATGTCGCATGGAACACGAAGCGACATGTGGCACTTTATGGCGGCGCTGGCGGTGTCACACACAACTTAAGTTGCGGCTTCATGTCATGCCATCGGACGTTGGCGGCGCGGAGGTGATTTCCGGCGGAGTGAGCTGGGTGTGGCATGTTATGCCCAGTCATTGCAGCACAACCAACAATGGCCACTGCCAAATTGCCAAAATGGAGCGCTTCTTTGTGAATGTGTGTGTGTGTCTGTGTATGTGAGTGTGTGAGTGTGTGTGTTGCGCGTGATTGCGCGCCGCTTGACACTTGGTGTGCGAAAATTGCAAGTTCGAGTGCCGTGCAACAACAACATGCATCAGCCAACAACAGCGACAACCAACAGACGACCACCACAAGTGCATGCTATATTGTTAACTGTCAGTCGGACATTTGACTGGCAGCTGGCGGCAGCAGTAATGTTGCATTCCCAGCCGCGTTGCTTGTTGTTGTTACAGTTGTTTTTACGTTTACATTTTTGGTGATTTTTGTTGGCAAAAATTCTATATTTTTTTTTGTGGCCAAATTTCTGGAATTTCCAATATCTTTTTTAAAATCAGTCACACGTACATACATACATACATATATACAATTGTGCATTTCACTTTTGTCATGATTTTCAAACGCTAATTCCATTGCAGTGGACAAGTTGATTATTTTTCCATCTGTATTGGTTAGACATTGCGACGGCCGCAACAATTCGTGGTTCACTTTGAGGACAACCCGCCACAAAAGCCATATACTTTCTTCGACAAGCCAGTAGTTGCATTCGTGTCACGAAAGTTAAATGTACATACATACACAGTATATGATGTATACATATATATAGTATATACGAGGGGATTATCAAAAGTTCGTTAAGCTGACCAAATATTTGTCCTTTTTTGTCTTCTCTACATAATCGCCATTGATTTCAATGCATTTCTGGGTCCACTTCTAAAAACAGTCTTGAAAATCTTGCTTTTTAAACTTATCAAGTTCAACATTAACCACGTTTATTATATACTCGTTGCTAGTAACGACCTTTCCTTTTAATTTGGTTTAAATTTTTGGAATTAACCAGAAATCACAGGGCGCCGTATCTGGAGAATATGGTGCTGGACGTATTTCTTCGATCCCAGCGAACACAATAAAATTACTCGTTATATTAGCAGTGTGAGATGGCGCGTTGTCAGGAGGTAAAAAGTAGCGCCGCAAATCCTCTTTCTTCCTGCTTTCCAACAAATTTTTGAAAACTTTTGGTAAACACTCTTCGGTGAACTATTTCTCAGTTATCGCCTCACCCTTTTCCAGTGGAATTTCAGCTACCTTTTTAGATCGGGTTAAGCAAACTGGCATCATTACTTTTGTCGCTGATCTTTGTTGCTTAAATTTTACGGGTGGTTAGGCTCCTCTTGAGCCTCATACCATGGACTGCTGTTAGGTTTCTGGTTCTTACTTATAGAACCAGGATTCGTGACCGGCAACGACTTTACTAAAGTTGCTAGACCGACCATTTTTGAATTTGTTTAGGAAAAATTGTGCAAAATGCAATCGAGTCACTTTTTGGGACTTAATTAAAACTCGTGGTACCCAACGAGCAGATTTCTTCGTCTCATCCCATATCCCATATCCCATATGATTATTTAATATTAGCGATACAGCCATGACATTCAAGCCCAATTCATTAGCAATAATTTCTTGTGCCAATCGTGGGTATTTGTCAATTTTGGACTTCACCAGAGGCATTGTAACGTTTTCAGTGGAAGATTTTGGTCGACCTTCTCGGAGCTCGTCCCCTATAGAAACGTGTATTTTCTGGAAACTACGGAACCAATTGGAAATAGTCTTAAACGACGGTGCAATAGTTCCATATACAATTTTGCGGTCATACTAATAAAGTGATTACAAGAGATTTGGTATTTTTGTTGTGTCTTCAGCTGTCCGAACTTTTGTTAATTCCCTCACATAAGTATGTATGAATGTATTGTATATACATATACAGGGAAAGTTACACGTTTTTATATGATAACTGTAGAAATACACACATGCATATAGCTTATCTTAAATATATGAAAAATATTAGTCCGCAGATATTTTACATATTCAATAAGCGCTTAATGCCAATGCCATTCTTCCAGCCACAAATTTATCAACGTCTATAGAAACTTAGACGATTTATAATTGAGAAATTTTGGTTGATTAAATTTTAGTTTTTTTTTTTTATATTTATTTCGTACGGTATGTTTGATAAGCTACATTGCCATTTTGATGATTGTAGCACTGCCCAGCAGGGAAAACACTAATTCTTAACTAGAATGCAACTATTATGCATTTCTACACCAAATAGTTAATCTTCCAAATATTTTACACGGTTTAACACTAAGATCTCCTACGAACTGTCAATTGACACTCTATGCTACAGATTCATACTAGTTTAATACCAGTTAATATATACCGGTTGAAATGCATTTTTTTCTAACCAGTTGAGAACTAGTTCACCTCAGACATTTTAAACATTGAACTAATTTTGATGAAATTTTTTTTTGGTAGATTTGAGAATGGTGTAGAAAAACTCCTTTCACAGGCAGTTGACTAGTGACCAACTTATTTAAAAAAAACGCATTAAAAACCACAACATATCTTTCAATTTGGAGAACTACGTGTATTTCTTTCCCGGCAGCTGATCAGATATCGATGTATGTATTAGGTGTAGTAAAAAGAGATCCATTATTTTTGCATCAAATTGAATGGCATAATTTTTTCTTTTTGCCTCCAGTCTTGTTCAAATGATTCCAAACTGGTTTTCTGTACAATCTTTTGTCTTGGACAATCTACATGACGGTCTGGGGCGACAATATCCATGATTTTATCGACGTTTCCGACAATTGGACATTCAATCCATGAAGCATCTTTTAGATCAACATTACCGGAATGAAACCAAATTTGTGCATAATTGACTGTAACAGTTTCAGGACCATAAACCCCATCCAAATTTTCAGCCGCCTGGCTTGCCATTTCGCCCTTATCGAAGAAAAACTGTGAAATATAGCGAAGGTTCTCTTTGCTGGTGTCCAGCTTTGATGCAAGCTCAAGCAAACCTGAATCAGCCAATCACAAAACTGTCAGAAGAGTTTTTTTTTAGAGAACGGAATGTCATCTTCGGAACTACATAAAGCGGAAACCCTTTGGATTAATACGATGCGAGATACGGATAAATTATTTTGAAGCTTTTTCATGCATTTTGTTTTACAGAAAATGATTCATTTGTACCAATCGGTTGTGTGACTGTAATGTATGACCGAAGCCTCATATCTGAAGAATTTTTGTTTATAGGAGTCATAGTTCGGTCAGTTGGTGACTTTCAATTTGTTTTTGTAAATTATGAAAATACCAAATTCTTTGAAAATACTTTATTAGTCGATCGACTAAAATGGAGACGAGAAAACCCAAAGTAGCTGGGGATAGGTCAGATGAAATTCCTCCACCAATGTAAACTGAAATTCGCCAATTCGGGGTTCGTCGTAATTTACATCCAATACAAATATTCAGTGAATGGCAAGTTGCAAGTTCAAAATTGACGAAGACCCAGGATTGACACAAGAAATTATTGCTTATGAATTGGGTTTGAATGCCCAGGCGATGTATCGCTAATATTAAGTAACCATCTGGGATATACGAAGAAATCTGCTCAATGGGTACCACGAATTTTGCTTAATTTTTGCTAAAAAAAAATCGAAAATGGTCAGTCTGGCAGCTTTAGTAAAATCGTTACCGGTGACGAATCTTGGTTCTATCAGCACGATGCAGAAAATTAGTTTAAATAAAAAATTAAGCCAAATTTCGAAGGCGGCTTAGTATAAACTATATATCCTCCATTTGTTGGAAAAATATCAATTTGGCAAACAGTTTGTTTGCACAGGTCATATTTTCACAGGTCTTTTTCAAGTAAGGATCTGATCAATGGTTCATTTGCAAGGTCTAAAGGCATACTTTTAGAGTCCATTTTGTCCGTAGACGATTATTCTTTCTTACAGTTGTTCGGTAAGACGTTACGGACGGTAGTTAGTACAGTTTAGAAAACTGAGGAACAATTTATTCCGTAAGCTCAGTACACTTTGTACATCAGTTACCAGATTACCTCATAGGTTATTATCATAATCCGGTTTTCATACTCAGGTATTTTCACTCCCGGGATTCGAACCTCTTGTTATAGATCATCAGGTTGCGAAGTAGCCAGTGCGATATTTCTTTTCTGTAGTTCGACATTCCTTTTCAAACTAACTCTTCTTTTGACCTCTCGAAACCCCAGAGCTTCACGGTTGGTTGATTGAAGGTCTTTCAGAGAGTATATGCGCAAGTCGCAGAGAAAACCTTCTTTGAGTTTGTTGTGTTGACTGGCGTTCTCTGCTGTAGAGAGTAGTGCTAGTGAGTCAATGTTGGATCTTTGTAAAGTACGCTCGTCATAAACACTGTGGTCATTCAGTCTATCAGTCCAGCTGTGCAGTGGCCTTTTCCTAATTAAAGGGCCGATTCTTCCATATGCATGCTTTCAAATCATGATCCTTAAAACTGACCGCAAGTTCGGTACAATGCCGTTTAAAGTATTACACATGAGACAACAGTGTACAGGGAAGTTAAAATGAAGCCTGATTTCGATAGGTCGAGCAATCGGTATGCCGTTCGGAGCTTCTACTTTAAGCTAATGCCTGAAGTGAGGGACAGAATGATCTCGCAACTAGGAACTCAGTTGTGCCGCCATGAAGTCTAATCGGAATAAGGTATTTATATGGAATCACTTCTTATCATACGCTCGTATATACGATGGTAATAAGCTCGGCTGTTCTCATTAACGTGTGGCAAGGGGTTTAGAAAACTCAAGAGGCTTTCAAGAGAGCTCAACCTCTCTCACCTCTATCCAGGCGTATGCATTGCATGTGCTCTCTTTCATTCCAAAATCAGAGTGGTACAGACTTTTTATCACGAGACATGTTCCGATAAAAGATTTTTGACAATTGTCCTTCAAAAGTTCCGAAGTAATCTGAAAAATATATATTAGCCACGAAGAAGTGTACAATCGATTCCATAAAAGGTGAACTATCTTTTTCCCAGTCTCTTCTAAATACCACAGGAAGTGTCCTATCAATTGGTTTTTCCAAAGGGTTCCTGAGCCCATAGATATCCACGTATTCAGCTATTGGTTTCGGGCTTGAAGCTTGATGCATATAATTGCTATTGTTGTTGTTATACTGGTTTCATAGTCACATTTGCTTGCTGTTTTGGTGTTTGACAGTTGACAGTTCAACTTTTGACATCTCACAAGTGTTCACTCAAGCGGCGTATAACCGAATCGTTGTCTGTCTGCAATCACACGCGCACACACACACACACACACACACACACACACATACACCAACAGAAACACAGGGAAAAAATACTGACTTTCTTTTTTAATTATCATTTGTTTTACAGCGCGAGTCGCGCACACAGAATGCATTTTGTCGCATAGCAATTGTGCCTTGTCCACCCACACCCACGGTGGACTCACCAGCCAGCAATCCGTCGGCCTGCGAGGCCGTTCATTCTTTGTGTGTGCGTGTGTGTCGGGCGTGAAGCTTCTCAATTTGGGGTATTAAAAATATTTGTTCAGTGGAATATTTTGGTGGTCTGCCATGGTTGTCGTCAACGTTTCCATTATTGTTGCTGATATTATTGTTGTTTCTGTATTTATTATTGTGCATATTGCGCTTGCATTGTGACGTTGTTGTTGTTGCCATTGGCTTCGAGTTGGTTTTAGCACTCAATTGCAGTGCTTTTTATTGCCATTTGCCGGCTTACTTTTTCAACGCTGGTCTTCCAGCCCTAGGAGATGTAGTTTGCTCGTTCGTTCGGGTATTCGGTGGTTCGGGGGTTCGATGGTTGGGGTCTGTCGCTTCATTACAGCGTTCATGCAGTCAGTCGACCGCATCTCTCGGTCTGAATATTATTGCAATGCGTTGCTATTGTTTTTCAAGGTGAGCTGCTGTGAGTGCCTGTGTGTGTGTGTGTGTGTGAATGGGTCTCTGTGTGATTATTTTTCGCGTCTGGCGGGTATTTGTCGCGCGGCGAACGCATTGCGGTCGCCATATTGCATGGCATTTTGTGTTTGCACAGCACAGTTTTGCTCTGTTGTCAGATTTCGTGGTGCATTTTGCATTGCTTTTGGGTTTTTCTCCACTTTTTTGTAGTCTGGCAATTTTTTCGCGTGCAGAGGTTTTTCTCTTTTCGTTGATGAAGTTTGATTTTTGCAGAATTTAAAGGTTGGTTGGCCGACGTGTAGGGTCGTTAGGACGTCGCTATGACAACAAAACTTTGGTGGATTCTTGAAGTGATGGACTGAGGTTTGCTGCTGCATTGTTGCCAATTTTCACCTTAATATTTTTTCCATTTTTTTTAAGTCTAGTGGTCCAGCAACAGTATGCAAGGCGGTTTATTTTACACGGGTTACAGTGGCGGACCTTTTGTCATAGATAGAAGCTTGGAATATATGAAGAATCCTTCTTCAAAAGTAGAAGTAAGACCAGTTTTTGTGAATAATATATACCTACTCCAGGTTGGCTGGTGGAAATTTTGAAAATTTCATCATAATATCTCTCCTCGAGAAAAATCATTTCTACACTCCCACAATAAAATTTGACTACGAAAAATTTAGTAACAGAGGTTATACAGAAAATTGACTATAATCTTCTTTTAGATATCATGTCTTTTGTAAAAAAGTTTGGAACACCCAATCCAGGCGCCTACTGCCTCACATACGTGGACAGAGGAAGATTGTGATGTTAGAGCTTCCTTCAGTGGCGCTTTGTAACCGCTGAAGTGTTTTTCCAACAAATGGAGCTCTTAACCCTATATTAATTGCTGAGCACTGCGAGCTTAATATCCCCCCATAATACAGCGTATGAGTTAGAGGGATGCTTCATAACATATGATAAGGAACGTTTCCATATAACTTTTTTTATTCAGATTAGGCTTCATGGTAATAGAACGGACTCTGAATTCCTAGCTGCAAGTTCCTCTGTTCCTACGCTCAGCAATTAGTTTAAAGTATAACCTGGGAACAGGGTCGGTACCCTGATCGACCTTTCGAAATCCAGCTTCATCTTGACACACTCACATATTGGTAAAATTGTTGGAAAGCTTGCTTGTGGCACTAACCTGTCCGGCTGCTCTGGGAACAGATAAGTGAAAATTTTATGTTGTTGCAACATCTCGGAGCAGAGTATTCCATTTCGCCGAAGTCAGTCAAAAGATGGCATATACTAATAACTAGAATTTTCGTAGCGAGGCTCCAGCAACTTGGCGAACGAGTCGTTGTACGTTGAAACAAACTCAGATTTGGTAAAGAGTACAGGCAATGTCTTCGTCGCTTTAGTAGTGGTTGTCTAGAGATGTGATCTGGCTGTACCGAAGTTACAGCGACGACCTTCTCTGCCCACCATGGAGTTCAAGCATTTTTTTTGGTACATAAATAAGCTCCAGGCATTTACAGAAGACACTTTTGATTACATTGTTCTGCTCTTCCATTGGGTGTAAGGCCAGTCATTCATCCGCCGTGTTGTAGCCGGGATTCGGTGATTCGGAGTCTCTCTCTTAACACAAGGCGCTGGCAAGTCTTGGACGGTCTTTCGCCTTACAATCAGTCAGCTGTGCCACGGCACATTCCCAATTAATTTACCGAAAATCCCGGGTTTATGTTCTATAAATGGTATATTATACATTTGATCGTCATCGAATAGGGGGGGTTTCTCATACCACAGTGTTTTAAATCGAGACCGCAGCCGCACCTCTGGGTGAACAGATGCTATACAATTACTTTAGTGAACCCTTAAGCTGGATATGCCAGTGTCACTTCACTTAAGTTTACTCTTTTTTTGCTATGATCCTCAGGGCTTGGTTCTGAGAGCATGCGAAGTAGATCCTGGATCATACAAACATGACTCTAAATAGGATTACTGACTTTTTTTACCCCAAATTTATCT